GGTTTGGTTGGGCGGGTCATGCTGGGTTGGGTGGGTCATGTTAGGTTTGGTGGATCAGGTTGATTTCTGTTCAGGTCAGGTGGGTTTTGTAAAGAAGTAATTGAGCTCGGTTGTGCCAGATTGGCTTATACTTTGGCTTCGTAGAAGCCGTCATTGCGTGACTGAAATTGGATGCCAATGCGGTTTCTGGCTGACCAAGACCTGAAACAGGGTGAGCGATGGTTAGAATGGGCTTCGGTTTGGACGAGTTAGGCATAAGGTGCCCTGCTGCAAGTTTTGTGTTAGTAACGATATTTTCTCTTGGCGAACTGATATCCTACTCGTTCGTTTTGTGTGTTTCCATAACGAACCAAGGACTCGGACCTGAGGCTGTGTGTATCAGATGCCGACTGTTACTCGGATTCGCCCCAGCACTGTCTCAAACTGAACATCCTATTGTCAAGCTCAAAGCGACTTGGAATAACCCTATATATATATATATATATATATATATATATATATCAGTTTGGGTTGATAGGTTGATATATATATATATATATATATATATATATGTATATGTGTATATATATATATATGTGTATATATATATATATATATATATACATATGCATATTGTATACGAGTATTGTCACGGTGCTGGTGTGCAATGGCAATAGTCCAACGTGACTTGAGGCGGGTTATTCCAAGTCGCTTTGAGCTTGACAATAGGATGTTCAGTTTGAGACAGTGCTGCGGCGAATCCAAGTAAGAGTCGGCATCTGATACACACAGCCCAGGTCCGAGTCCTTGGTTCGTTATGGAAACACACAAAACGAACGAGTAGGATGTCAGCTCGCCAAGAGTAGATACCGTTACTAACACAAAACTATATATATATATATATATATATATATATATATATATATATAATCCTTTTTTTATAACAAAGGTTGAGGTAAAGCGAAAATGAGTGGGGAATCAGCGAATTTGGGTATCCATTTTATGTGAGAAAGCCGCGCGATATTGTGGTTGGAAAAACGATTCCGTATGGCAAATTCCGTAACGATTCCTTGGCAAACTGGATCGTGTACCTGTAGTAGTCGATCATTGGGTGGGCCCGGGACTTAAAATTATGTTATTAGTTTCAGGACAAGTGTACGTAGGCTGCACCCATTATCTTAGCAACCCATGATGTTGCGGCAATAAAGCAAAGAACGTTGGATAGTGCATGTCGGACTACAGCACAATGGCTCCTATGTAAACCAAAAAAGCCCAAATGCTTCATAGGCCAGCTTTTGTTCCTTGATAGGTGTTAGTTTTTCACATTTGACCTTAAATGACCATGGATTATTTGATCTCGTAGCTCTGATTCATAGATTGGTCTCATTTGCGCGATAATTCGTCGACAAACGTGGGTTATATGTCGCGTCACTGCGAAATATGACCGTTACAACCTTGAGAGGGCCATCGCAAGCCACTGGTGTCCTTCGAGGACTCACATGGGTTAGCCCGATAGCTTCACATAAGCAAGGAAAACCTTGAGCCCCTGGTTTTCTCAGCATGGTGGGTGTTTGTATGCATACAACAGTCTGCCTTCAGTGTAGCAGGAGTTACTGGTTAACATGCTCTCGGATTAAGGTCAGTTCGACCCCCCCCCCGAAGGTTTTTCTGAATAATTTCTGAAAGGTGTAGTGTAGCCGGGGCAATTTCTGCCCAGGTGTAGACAATTTAATTATGGATCTTTTTTAATAAAAATTGTATGTACCCTGTAAGATTGCTGACCCATGACAGGTCAAAGTTAGGCATTGGCTGTCAGCGAATGTCATTACTAGGGAGTCGTTCAATCGGATGCGACAACGGAGCGTTAACCGAAGTTGTACACCTCTGAGATATTTTCTTTAGACAGACTAGAATTTAGGATTATGACAAATTCCAGTGCCCTTAGGTCAGGTATAAAGGTCAGACTGGGATAAAAACCAACCTGTTTTTCACTGGATAAATTGCGTAATGGAGAAGTTTCTAATGCCTATTTCGATTTTGTTAAAAGCAGGGATTGCAACATATGTTCCATGCATGTATCTAAGGTCAAGTAGGTCACTGACCTAAAATGACCCGGATTAACCTCATTTTTAAGAACCATAGAGCCTAGCGCAGTCCCTGACGCTCATTCAAGTTAAAGAATCAAAGAATCTCGTAGGTTTCTAGTCACTATGACGTTTTAAAGGTCAAACAAGGTCACTAACCTTACGCGAACACCAGTTGTATTTTGCTTAGGACGGGTGTCTAGGTTCAAGGCTGTTGTGTGAGAAGGTGTGGGGGCACTTGGGGCACCAATGTAGAGTTTGACCATGTTTGACCTTATTCGACATTAAGTCCATAAACTAGGAATCTTAAATTTTGACGCAAGCGAGCTCACATACAGGTTGATCCACGCTGTAAATTTGGTATCTCCGGCTCCCGTAAGGGTTTGAGATGTTAGTGGCGGGGTCAAATTGATCCCCACCCGAACGTGTGGTATCCCACCGGCCACCCGGGCGCGCGTGAAACGATGCTTTGAGGAAAGCAGTGGTTATGCCGCAAAAATCGACGTTTCGAACTGTACTGGTAAACGCGAGGGAACGAGATTAAACATAAATGTCGTTTAAGACAAATACACGGAAAAATGGAGTCAATCAAAAGTCAGTCAAAAATAGAGTAGAATAGAGTAAAATAGCCCCAATCTGGGCGGGCATTGCCAATAGAAATATTTCAAAATAAGCAGTCATTCTAGGTCCCACACCTTAACACCCGATACACGGTACTGCGCCACGGGCAGTACCCAATACAGGTGGCTAAGCAGGAGGGTGGCGATGACCCATACTGGATGTAAGTATATGGTCAGACAATCACTTGCCACAGACGTCAGGGAAATAAGGGAAGATGTGAGGAATAGCCTAGCTGCAAACGTGGTACACCTGACTAAAAGTTTTAACTTGCTACCTTATTGGGTCACTGACCTATATGCTCCTCAGAGCTGATGGAAACGTGGAAAACCAACGCTTCGCTGTGTGGCTATAGGTCTGTGTACGGGATCTTCGTGTCCATTGAACCTGGAGATGTTGAGTGACTATGCGAAGTGCGATAAAAGGCTCAGAGGTTACGCCTTTAAGAAGTAACAACCGTGCCTGATCTAAATTTGACTGTCGTCTCACGCAAGGAAGTGACCCAGTGCGATAATGGTCAGCTTCCTGTGTTTCTGCCATGCTTGGAGCGCTCTCTGGAAGTCCCTGGAAGTCCCACGTTTTCCCCAAAACATGCGATCACCATCTACAGTCGCGCTGAGTCTCCTCTTCGGCGACAAAACGGCCACCGTGCGGCTGGAAGTATATCTTCCAGAGTGGGGGGTCAAGGGGGGGGGGGGGGGTCTGGGCAGGGGAGCGACGATGGTGTTGGCGCGGCCATTCGGGCCTTTTCAACGCCCCGTGGGCGGTCGCGGTGTCACGCCGCCCCTTCAGAGCTCGCGCCACCCGAGGTTCTCCCAGACAGAGCCAGGTCAGGGACGTAACCAAGGGTATGCCTGTCGTTTTGTGATTTTTCCGGGGTTGTGCTGTGCGAATTTGTCCCACGTGGTCGGACTGTCAATGTTTGGCTTTACTAAACCCTTTTGAGGTGTCTGGCGGAGAACATTCGTCTTGAATTACCTGACATGTGGCGTGATGACAATGATGGGGCCCAGCCTGACAGCGCGCCTGCTCACAGCGCGTTGAAATATTATGCAATAAGGTACTGCCAATCGTTTAAACCTCGAGGGATTATATCCTGAATATGGTAGATCCATTGCATACGGTACAGTACCGTATTTTACCGGACACAGTAAAATGGGTTATAACTGACCATAACGGTTAAACCATTACAATGGTTCAGTTGAGTGGTCTGCGTAGCTCTGTCCTAGTACGCATTGCAATAAGCTAACAAGCTGAGTCCCAGTAGCTCAGCTGATAGAGTTAAGTCCCGGCAGTTCATCTGGTAGGGTCAGCTCCCAGTAGCTCGACTGATTAAGCTGAGTCCTAGTAGCTCAGCTGGTAGTACTGAGTTCCAGGAGCTCAGCTGGTAGAGCAAGTTCTCATTAGCTCAGCTGGTAGTCCCAGTCCCAGCGGCTCAGCTGAAAGAGCTGATTCTCATTAGCTCAGCTGGTGGTACTGGATCCCACTAGCTCAGCTGGTAGTACTGAGTCCCAGGAGCTCAGCTGGTAGAGCTGATTCTCATTAGCTCAGCTGATGGTACTGAGTCCCATTAGCTCAGCTGGTAGTACTGAGTCCCAGGAGCTCAGCTGGTAGAGCTGATTCTCATTAGCTCAGCTGGTGGTACTGAGTCCCATTAGCTCAGCTGGTAGTACTGTGTCCCAGTTGCTCAGCTGGTAGAGCTGATTTTCATGAGCTCAGCTGGTGGTACTCTCCCCCGGTAGCTCAGCTGGTAGTACTGAGTCCCGGTAGCTCAGCTGGTGGCTCTGAGTCCCAGTAGCTCATCTGCGAGAGGCGCCGGACCTCAGATGGCATGATCATATCATTTGTATCGAATGCAAAAAGGTCAGACTCTCAAAAAGGTGGAGGTCAGTGGCCCAACTGGGACTGCTAGACTGATGGCGTAGCGTCAGGTTCGTCGCGATGAATCGACGTTTTTTTTCTTCAAAAACCATTGAGCTGCTGACGGTGGGCCGTGCCTGGTCTGTCCGTCGTCGTGGGTGTGTGGCTCTCTGGAGCGTGCGGTGTCGGAGCCGCCGTCTGTCTGTCGTCGTGGTTGTGTGGCCCTCTGGAGCGTGCGGTGTCGGAGCCGCCGTCTGTCGTCGTGAGTGTGTGGCCCTCTGGAGCGTGCGGTGTCGGAGCCGCCGTGTGCCCGCCGTCGCGGGTGTGCGACCCTCTGGAGCGTGTGGTGTCTGAGCTGCCGTCGACCACCGTCGGCGCCTGCGTGTCTTGCGCGGGGCGGCCCGTCCCGTCTGCCGCCGCTGACACGGAGCGCCCTCTGACCAGCCGCTTTTGTTGCAGGCTGGAAGCGAGGCGGCGGCGAAAAAGTCCTCCACCCGGCGACCCAAGGAGATGAGGGTCAAGCTAGGTCAGTTTTTGCGGAATCAGTGCGTGGTGGATAGTGAGAGGTGACGCGTTATCCTGTGGCATGGCGGAATTGTCCTGAATTGATGGGGAAGTAAATCACAGTAAATGGGGCGCTAGTTCGCGTGCTCGGGTGTGCGAGAACTTGCCGCTGAGTCTCTTTCCAAATTATTTTTCAAGTAAAAATGTACGTATGATGCGAGCCTGAGTTGTGCAGTATATGCACACTTCATTGTCGCGTTGAAATGCTCTTGAATCTTTCCACGGCTCAATCACTTGAAGTCGTTTGCAGTCTTGCGAACTGGTTTGGAATTTTGTTACGATTTTACATCGCAGTCTTTGCACGGCACCGTGCTGCATCATTCCAGTTCCTTTGGCATTTCTTTATTTATTGTCCGCACATTGATCGTGTTTGTCTTGTTTGTTAGCACCAAGTTGGGAAGGGCTGAGTCCCGTGTGTTGTCAGGGGTTAGAGCGTCACAGAAGCAGGGCTGAATCCCGTGCGTTATCAGGGGTTAGAGCGTCGTCCCTTTCCCCGTCAGGGCCTGTGTCCTGTCCCTCGTCAGGGGAGGGGGGGGGGGGCAGAGACTGTGTCTCGTCCCTCGTCAAGGGGCAGAGGCTGTGTCCCGTCCCTCGGCAGGAGCCGTGTCCCGTATCTCTCCAGGGGGCGGAGGCTGTGTCCCGTCCCTCGTCGGGGGCAGGAGCTTGTCCCATCCCTCGTCAGGGTGCAGCGGCTGTGTCCCGTCCCTCGTCGGGGTGGGCTGAGCATCGTATCTTATCACAGCAATGGGTGGCATTTCGTCCCTTTTCGGTGGATGAAATTGTGTTTAACGCCTCATCAGGGCGCAGGACCTTGTCCCGTCGGGGGCGGGGCTGTGTCCGGTACCGCTAGCGAGGTACGGAACCACACTGTACCGTACCGTACTGAGGGGCGGGAGGCAGCTATAAGCGTGTTAGAACCACAGCTGTGCCCCCTGCTGCATCAGGGGCGGAGATGTTGGTGGAGCCGTGTCCGGCGCCTCGTTCAGGGCAGCAGAGCTGTCTGGTTTCCTCCGATACGGGTCAGTGGCCGGCACCGGGCGGCACGTGCGCGCAACCGCGCTCTAGACCAACGTCGATGTGATGGCCGTTACAGAGCGGAGCCGCCAGAGCGCGCGCGAGTGCCGCGCCAGGAAGAAGCTGCGCTACCAATACCTGGAGGAGGTGGTGCGCACCCGCGAGCAGGCCAACCTGCTGCTGCGCAAGGAGCTCGAGCAGGTGAGCGGTGGTGGGTAGCGTGGTGACGGGTGTGGGGTTGCCGAACGCGCAGCAGGCAAGGCAGTGGCGGTCCTAAGAGCGTGTGGTCTCTGGGGGGGGGGGGGGGGGGGGGGGGGCGGGGGGATGGGACGTAAGGTATTAGCAGGCCACGGGGAACTGCGGTAGCCTGGCCAGTGGCCCGTCACGCCTTTGTTGGGCTCGTCTTTTGGTTTCCACTGGTCAGCTGAAGGCGAGCTGAAGGGTTGTAAGTGGATTTGAATGGTACTGCGGGCGCCTGTTTGAAGATAATTTGACTGGCTTCGGGTCGGTCCAAGTTCCTTGCACTCGTTTCGAGGCCGTAGCAAAGCTCTTGTCGGGGCACCCGAAAGGTAGAGGTTTCATTCATGGCGCATGGCTAAAGTCGTCATTTAGCTAGTGTCAAACGTGACGCGAGCTACCTGTGGAGCAGACGCCGAGAGGAGGCTCTCATTTCTGTTGCGTGGTCATGTGGTCACACACGTCCGGTTTTACTTTGCGTTCCCCTGGGATTTGTCCCGATGAGTGTAAGTAACATCTGTACATATGTATTTTGCAGTACTTGAAGTGGAATCAAGAACTTGATGAGGGCCGACTACCAGAAGGTCTAAAGAAGTTGGTAGAGGAGGATCAGTTGCAGCAACAGCATCAGCAGCATCAACAACAGCAGCAGCAATCGTCCTTTACACAACAGCAGCAGCAGCAACAACAGCAGCAACAGCAGCAGCAGCAGCAGCAGCAGCAGCAGCCTCAGCAGTAGTGGTTCAGTGATGCTGCTCAGGGAGTTTGGAGCTGGAGACAATGGACTGGCACTGCACCCTGCTGCGCTGCAGCCCGGCGCACAAGAGCCGCCGTCGCTCTGGCCGGGACAGAGGGCTGGCAGCACCAGACAACACACGTGATCGCCACGTACGAGTTGGGGTAGGGGGTGTGGGTCGGAGGCGGAGGCGTCGTTCCGTTGGTGATGTATTGCTTAGTCTCCGCTGCGTGGCGCCACTGTGCTGGCTGTCCGCCATTTTAAATGGGGATTTGCTGGCGGATATGACTGGGTAACGTAGCGCTTGTCTCGGAACTAGTGTTAGCTGTCGAAGGAGTTTTGTTAACGTTGTGGAATGTCAAGGACAAAGGGCCCATGCTGCCGTGGCAGTTGTCTTTGATGGCGAGTGGTCGGTGGAATGTAATATCTCATGTCGCACACGAAATGAGACAGTTGCTTTTATCGCAGTCATTTGGTTGATTTGCCTGAATGCTTGGGTATATTGTGTGCCGCATTGTCACTCTCCGTTATGTGTCCTGTAGACTACGGCTTGAGTTTGGCGACATTTGCACGGCAGAAGTTTGTAAGAATACAACCATACGTAATGCCGCGATCAGGGTGTGCTCGAGTGCCAACGGCCAGGACGGCGACAGATCTGATTTTCTGACATATTTTCTAGGGGGCCGCGGGCACATAAAGGGCCGTCCAATGAGGCCAACCGGCCAGGCGACCAGCGGCTCTCAGCGCACCGCGGTGCGGGCTGATAGGCTCGCCCGCGGACGCTCCGGCTGGGCTGTGCTGTGGAGCGGCTGACGATGGGTGTACAGATTCGTAGCTTGCCCGACGGCGTACATCATCATGGAATGGTGTATTGTCATCGCAAGAATTGGCACAGCATTATCCGCAATAAATCTATACGCGTTACACACAAAACAGCCGACACTGTCCTGGGGCCGACCCGAGGAGGTGCGGACCAACGAGCGACTGCCGCGCTCCCGGCGACAGGACCCGACGGGGCGGCCGCCGCCGGGCTGTACTGAGCGCCGGCCGGAGGACACTGAGCTGCGGCGGCTGCCGGCAGGCCGCGCTGGCCGACACAGTCGGCTGGAAGAACCTTTGGCTTATGCTGCTGCATACACGTAATATCGGTGGGTGCGACACCTCATGTCGCGTAACTGGGGAAGCTTTGCAGGTGATGTGTCTCGATCCGGGGCGGCTAGGTGAAGGGAGGCGTCATCTGAAGCCGTAGGCGCGCGCGGGGCGAGATGGGGCACGTTCACTGAACGCCGCCCAGCTGTTGACGTAACTTTTCTCACTATGCCACATGCTGATTGAGAGCAGTTGCAGCACGTCCAAATCCCGCCAAGGTATTTGCGGAACAGTGTCCCTAGCAGGGATCGCGCTCCTGTTATTTGTAGCAACAGTATTCCTGGAGCATGGATCGCAATCTTATGTTGGACCGAAACTGCTCTATTGACACGGCGACCTGCCGCAACTGCGTCGCTTTGTACACGTAAATAGCAGCACCCCATCCCCCCCCCCCCCCCCCCATCGACCGGCGAAGCAGGGACTGGGCTCCGACGAGGCAACTCAACTCGGCAGGCTGCGGCCGCTGGCCTGGCGTACCCCTCGTTAGGAATGGGCTTACTGTGCTGATGATTCAGAGCGGCCTCGTCGGCCGGCCGGGGTCGCTCGGCGGTCCCTTCGGCGGTCGGGCCGACCCGCCGGCCAAAGTCACTGACTAGCCACCTGACGTCCAGCGCCGCGGACTGGCCCGGAGCCCCCAGCCGGCCTCGTCCGGGCGCGGCCACGCTCGTGGCGCCGCCTGTCCCGCTCGCGCGCAAACGCTCACAGCCGGCGCGCGACGGCCACTAACACCAGGACGTCTTGCCTGGGTCGACGTCGATGGCGACGCCGCTGATCTGCGACAGCAAGCTGGCCACGCTGTGGCGCGGGTCGCGCTCGGCACTGTCGAACGAGAACTGGATATCGTCCACCGAGCCGGCCGGCAGCCGCTCGGCGGCGCAGTTCTGGTAGCCGGGCGGCGGCGGCGGCGCGGCGGCCGCTGCCCCGGCGCACTCGAGCCTGCCGCCACAGCCGATCGGCACCTCGTAGCCGGACTCGCTGTCGTAGCGCAGCTGCAGGTACTTGTGCTTCTGCGGCAGCCGGAGTCGCGCGCGGCTCGGCAGCGTCGCCTGCGCCGCCGACGAGTCGCTGAACACGGAGTCGGCGTCGCCGTCGGCCGGCAGGAGGTGCGAACTGTCGCGGCCGCTGGTGGCACTCGAGCTGCGCCGCCACCGGCCGCCTGCAGCATCGGGATGACGGTCAGTACAGGCCATTCGGTGGTACAGATGTTTGTGTGTCAGGGTGGGAGTGACACAGCTGGTAGTGTCTTTAACGGTCAGATGCTGACTTGGTCCGAGGACGTGTTCGTCGTTCCGCGGATTCGTTATTTCCATGCACCGTTTTAGGTTAATGCGTGCGGTCTTGTGACACGTGGGCGCTGACTCGTTCTACTGATTGACGGTTATGCGGCTTGATGGATGATCCTTGCCTTTGAGATTGGACGCCAACTCAGGGTCTCGGAAGGTCGGCAGCCTCGCCCATTGCGTACCGAATACGGGTATTTAGCCCTGGAGTTGGCAATGTGCATTACTTCACATGCTCCCACCCACGGCCGAGCTTGTGATTCATGTACATCTATATGCAGCAGACATAGGACAAGCATGCTGAATTTCTCACCTTCTTCGGTGGTTTCCTCTTCGTCGATGGTGTAGGCGTTATTATCAAAAGCGCCTAAGACAGAGACAAGACATCAACCAAGCTGGCAAAGATAGTGAAGCAATGAACAGACTACTCGAATGCGAGTTTTTACAAAGCAAGCGGACGGCCGGAGCTCAATGAAGAAACATGTCGAGGGTGAGCTAGAGGTTAATGCGAGAATAGAATAGGTCGACATAGAATCCAAATAGGTTGACATAAACATGTTTGGTTAATCGGGTGCCGCCTCCCCTGCTTATTCACAGCGTACAATTCTGATCGTAGATATGGCAATATGAAATGTTTAACTGGACGAGGGTATTCCGAGCGAGCACTGCACAGTATGCACAATCATGCAATATGAGCCGAAGCGTCAGGCACAAATCGCCACACACGACTGTTCAAAATGCCAACCAGCAGCAGGCGGCGCGCAGTGCAAGTCGGCCGGGGCCCAGTCGAACCGGACGGGCGCCGGCGGCGCGGGCCGGGTCGGTCTCGGACGTACCGGGTGTGCGGGCGTACTGGGCGTTGTGTACGGTCATGCCGCTCTGAACCAAACCGGGCGCCCGGCTCAGTGCCGCCACCTGGATCTGCTGCAGACACTGCAGGCAGTGCTGGAAGGTCGGCCGGTCGTCGGCGACGTACTCCCAGCACTGCTGCATCAGCTCGAACCTGGAGCGTGAGGCCGAGGGCGCGAGTGTCAGGACGGCGCGACAGAGGCCCTCGGTCGGCATCGAGCGGCCGGACCTGGGAGACCCGCTGGCGTTCAGAGGTCGGAGACGGTCCGCCCTAGACGCAACCCGCACATCGAGACGATAATGTCCCATCGCCTCGCAGAGGTAAGCGGGGGCACGGCCAAACGTTTGGCAAGGGGAACACAGTTGGGAAAGCGCCCATGATGGTTAAAGCCTTCCCAAAAAAGCCGGGTATGGCCCACTTGTTAATGAGGGGCACGGTTTTCTTTGTTTTAGCACTATAATTACCTTCTATTACTGGACCAGAAGCCAAAAGCTACCGCGGGATAAATTCTGTTTAAAATTTAAGGTCAATAAGCTGGTGAACTTCGGCGTTCAGCGACTGCATGGAATAAATCGTTGACGTTCCTTGTTCTAAAGCGGTTAATCAAACTCTAGACCGGTAGAACTCAGGACTTGTGCCATAATTTTGATATAGGTTATTCAGAGAAATTGAGAACGCCGTGAGCGTAAAAGATCGATGGATGCACTGTCTGTATTAACATGGCTAACCCAAATTTGCCCAGAAGTGTTTAGCACGCTGTCAGAATTGATTCATGATAAAAAGTATTGTACCGTAGTTTTGGACACGCGCTAACAAATTTAAAAAAACAAAACCTGGACGCCAGGCGTTGCAGTTTCCATAAGCCACGTAGCGTCAGCCCCGTGGATAACACTTTGTATGTTGCGACCGACGGGCAGACAAAATCTGGAGGTGGAACTGGAACAGCGCGGGCGTAGTTTCGCAAAATGAGTTGGGGAAGGAATGAACGGTGAGAAATCACCCAACCTGCCCCAAAATATGCCAACAGACAGGGGTTTCTCCGGATTTGCCCACTTCCTAAAGCTAGGGTCGGGGAGCTGAAACCCAACCGAACAGAAAACTACACCCCTGTGAAAACGTTAAAGCAGAGTCTCTATTCTTCGTGTCGTTTAAGTGTTAACCCGTCCGGAGGACATTCTCAAAGTTTGAGAACAGATGCGCCTCAGTCTAATCTTTGAATTGTGTGGAATATGAATTCATTTGGAAAGACTTACGGAATAATTATTTCGCAACAGTCGTTCTCGCTCATGCGCTTAACAGGGGCCATGGGGCAAGGCCATGGGGCAAGGCCATGGGGCAAGGGGCCATAACAGGCCATAACATGGGCAAGGGGCCCTGAGTCGGCCATGGGGGGCATTTGTTGAACAGAGACGGGGACAGAATCCCGCATGCCAGAGGGCCTCGCACATTGGTTGGGGCCCGTTGACAGTGGAAGGAAACCCGAGAACTTTGGAAAAAGCGATGAGAAAAAAGCGATGAGAGCGCATCCATCCAACCAAATTCCAGCCATGGGTCTGTTAAACCGAACTATGTTTATGTGCCAATTATTGGATCACTTGCGGCAATCAGGGATCTTGTTGCGTTAATGACTGTTCCTGCGTCGATTAGGGGCCAACTGCGTGGGTCAGAAGGCCTCCCGCGTCAGGGAGGCGACCAATGTGGTATGATACATTCTTTTAAGGGCCACCAGATCAACCAGGGGACCCCGCGCCCTTGTCGCCAGAATGACAGCCGGAAGGCCCTCCGCTGCGACGGGATGGCACTCCAGCCCTTGACCGGGACGATGATGTGCTCCCTAGTGCTGTACTTACGGGGCACCTTGCCCAGAAAAAAGTAGAAATTTTCATAAGTGCTGGAAACAGTGGGTTGAAATGAGATCAAAAATCAAAAAGGCCAGCCCATGTTTGCCAGAGGACAGCCATTCTTTTTTAGAATCGACTGATGTAACAGATCACATCAATCTTATCCTGAGTGCTCTTGGGCCGGGGTTGCAGTTTCTGTAAAACGGCACGGCATTGACCGCTGCAAGTAGCACCAGGCGGTAGGGCGCGACACACGCTGGGGCCCCAACCAATGTAAATCGCTGACTACGGCTTTGTCCCTGAATGGGAAATGGGTCCTAAGACCCATACCGACACGGAGCCAGAAGTGTGGGACTGATGGTGTCTGACCGACATATAGGCCCTTATCGATTACGAGCCCCCGATCGGTGCAAAAGAGCATCCGGCTAGCATGGGAGTGCCCGAAGCGGCGGGTCAGGGCTCCTGGATATGACCTTCTTCCGGCCTTTCGGGCCATTTAGGCCCTCAAATCTGGCCCTTAATCGTCGGTTTTGGGGGACTCGAAGGGCTCCTAGAAACTTAAAAGGGCATGTGTCCCCTGCTCCTTGCCCACACCACTGGGGGCAAACATGTAATTTTTCTTAACATCAGTTTTAAACGCCATGGACTCAAACGCGATCTAGCGGTGTGCTGGGAGCACTGGGCCAGAGATGGCAGTTGAGGCAATGATGTGCGACACTCGTCTGTTTCAAACGGTGCTGTTCGGGCCAGCGATCCATCTACGTGTCTCCCACCCGCAGCGGACCACGTCGGTCAGGCCTGGTGGGGCCCGTCACGTGACTCACATCTGCTGCGGGCACGGGTCGGGCCTGCTGAGCGTGCCGCCCTCACGGACGTACTGCAGCACCTCCAGGTTGGTGCGCGCCGGGTACGGCTGCTGGCCCTTGGTCATCACCTCCCATAGCAGAACACCGAACGCCCAGACGTCCGACTGACTGGCGAACACGCCGTCAATCAGCGACTCCGGTGACATCCACCTGCCGGCCGGGAGACCCGCGTCAGCACCAGGCGGTCGACAGACGGCTCGGCTCAGCGCCCCGGCTCCAGCGCCACGGCCGCCAGCGCCCGCGTCCGGTGAAGCCAGCGGAGGAGCGACTGCAAACGCGGCTCAGCGATGCACAAGGCGATGCGACGTCGCAACGTCGCCCGGGTGGCTGCAGCGCTGCGCGGCTGGTGTGGAGCGGCCGGCGCGGCGGCTCACCTGACTGGCAGCAGTCCCTCGCCCTCCTTGCGGTAGTAGTCGCTCTTGTAGATGTCCCGCGCCAGCCCGAAGTCGCCGATCTTGACCAGCCGGCGCTGCGGGTCGCCCGAAGTGACGAGGCAGTTGCGCGCCGCCAGGTCGCGGTGCACGAAGTGCAGCTGCTCGAGGTACTGACAGCCGCGCGCCACGTCCACACACATCTGCAGCAAGTCGTTCAGCGACAGGAACGGCGCCTGCAACACGGCGCTAACGTCAGTGGCGCCGAGGCCGGCGTCGCCAGGAGCTCGGGGCGGAAGTCGGCACGGCCGTGAGTCCGTGGAGACATCTGCACCGCCAGGTATCCGGGTTGTCTGTCGAGTTCGAATGTGATGGAGACTTGTGAGTCATAATGCAGCGCGCTGTCAAGGGGACCCCATGTGCAACGACGCCCAGCGTCCCAAATCTGCGTCAGGTACCTGCCGAAGCTCCGTCGAGGTCGATCATTAAATATCTGGATGGAAATGTGCTCACGAGCGCAAAAGAAGCTGAGATCAAACAGGAGTATATGACAAGTGAATTGTGATAATCGCATGACTAATAACCAAATTACACTTTCATTTAAGCACGCCAAGCCTTAAATTTCTGATGAAGGAACAGATAGCGCGTTGTGGTGCGCATGAAAACTCGTCGTGTTCCTCCCACCTCCCATGACTCACCACGTTCCAGTCGCTCCCTCCCAAGTCGGCACAAGACCCCTCCCAGTCGGCACAAGACCCCCTCCCAGTCGGCACAAGACCCCCTCCCAGTCGGCACAAGACCCCTCCCAGTCGGCACAAGACCCCTCCCAGTCGGCACAAGACCCCCTCCAGTCGGCACAAGACCCCCTCCCAGTCGGCACAAGACCCCCTCCCAGTCGGCACAAGACCCCTCCCAGTCGGCACAAGACCCCCTCCCAGTCGGCACTGTACCCCGTCGGAGTCGGTGCCACGGTTGGCTCGGAGGTAGCTCAGCAGGTCTCCGCCCTCCATCAGCTCCAGCAGCAGGAAGTACGGGTCGTTGTCCAGGCACACCCCCAGCAGCGAGATGATGTGCTGGTGTCGGAAATTGCACATAAGCTGGGCCTCCTTCAGGAACTCGATCTTCTCTTCGTCCTTGGCTCCCTTTGCCAACGTCTGAAAACGCATTGGAGTCTATCAAAGCAAGCATGCTTGGGAAGCAGTTATGTCCATTCCATACACGTCACGACTTCTCTTCGTCATTATGAAATTAATCGCAAGCCACAGCGTCACGCGACAGATAGGTCCCCAGAGGTGGCCGCAGGTATCCGCTGTCGGCTGCGCACCTTGATGGCGACTCGACAGCCGTGGTCGTCGTCCTCGCGGCCCGGCAGCTGCTGCGCCAGGCCCTCGTACACCTCGCCGAACGCCCCCTTGCCCAGGAACTTGGTGAGCGTGATGTGCTCGCGGCGCACGCGCGGCAGACCGCCCGCGTCCTCAGCGTCCGCGAACGGCGGCGCGTACAGGGCGTTGTTCTGCCGCACGAAGTGGGCTGGAATCTCGCGCAGCTGCGCTAGCTCCACGTCGTGAGGCAGCTGGTCCGGCGAGCGCGGCGCCTTCTTGTCCTCAGGCCGCTGCCGGAAGCCTGAGGAGTGTCGACAGACAGTCAGCGTTGGGACGAAGGAGCCGGGGAGTGCAGAGACGCCTCTCCACAAATCTGGTGACGAAACGGCGTTGAGGGAACAGCAACTGGCTCAAGTTGTTTGTGATGCCCGGGAAACGACATTCTGCTTTATCCATAAACCACTGAAATGGTGACAGTACTGGTGTCAATAACATGGACCGGGGAACAAATTTAAAGTGCCAAATTATTCGCCAAACCGATCAAAGCACCGGTATCTCTTGCCCTCGTCCAGCAGCACGACTCCAGAACTTCAGTGAATCTTTCAGCGTCAGCATCTCCTCCCCGCAACTCACGCAGCGCGAGAGCGACGACGATGAGCACGATGACCAGAAAGACGGCGCTGACGACGCCGCCCACGATGACGCCCGTGTCCGAGGGCTGCGCCCTGAACGGCATGCTCTCCAGCTGGTACGACTGCGAGGCGGCGCTGTAGTCGCTCCAGCCGTATGCGTTGTGGGCGCGCGTGCGGAACCGGTAGTCCGGGGGACGGGTCCAGGTCGCTGATAATCCACGACGGGTCTGAGGAACGGCGACAGACGGGCCTCCTGTGAGAGTTGGCAAGGCGACGAAGCAGGCCACGGACGTGGAGCCGAAGTGAGGCCTTGCTCAAACGCGCGGCCGGAATGCAACGCTGAGCGGCGATCGGTTTTGATCGGTTATATTTTGATCGGTTGACTGGTGAGGACGTCCGAGCCGGATCGGGCCAGCTCAGCGTCCTCGAGTCCGCGGGGTTCGCCCCAGGCCCGGCCGCTCACCGGAGCCGTTGTAGACGAGCCGCCAGCGGGGCTCGGCGCCGCGGCGAGCTCGCCGCGCCGCCAGGCTGGCCTCCAGCGCAGTACAGGTCGATGGCGGCTCCGTTAGCGCGCGGCGGCTGCCACGTCACCTGGTACACGGCGCCCTGGAGCTCGCGTACTTCGGGCGGCGCCGGCTCGTCCGGTCGGCCCCCTGCCGCGAGCACGATCGTCAGAGGGCTTGAGGCGTGCGGGGTGAGTAAACGTCAATCCAGCCCCACTAGGATACGCTGCGGCTCGCTGAGTTTGCTCGCTCGCTCAAATCGTGACATGGGATTTGCGGGTTCTGTCGCAGTGGCATCTGGCAGCTTAGCTATAGCAACATATCTGGCTGCCACGTTTTGATTCAAAGGACACTTCGCATCTTTTACAAAGGCAACACATTGGGCGTAAGCTGTAACGACAGTTCTTACAGAGTGAAAGCACGGCTGAGAACGCCGCCTGATCGGCTCAGCGGCCGCTGGCAGCAGGCTGGAGAGACTGGGCCGCGACCTGACGGTCTCCCAGCCGGCCGCCTGATCGGCTCAGCGGCCGCTGGCAGCAGGCTGGAGAGACTGGGCCGCGGCCTGACGGTCTCCCAGCCGGCCGTCATCGCTGACGCGTTCGGAGCCGGCGCGCGGCACTCACCGGTCGTATGGAAGGCGAATGGCGCGTCGCGCGGCCAGACAAACAGCTGGCCGGAGCGGTAACGCAGCCGCAGGCGGAACAGGTGTTCGGTGCGCGCCTGCAGCGGCTCGGCGCGATACCGGCCCACGCGCCGGCCGGACACCGTCTCGGCAGAGCTGAGCGTGCCGTTGAGCCAGCCGCCTGGCTGCTGGGCTGGGCGGTACTCGAGCCAGCTGCTGCTCGGCCCAGGCCCGGCCGGGCGTTAGGTGCGGGACGGGACCGGGAGAAAGACGAGCGGCATAGGCGGCGTGGAATCGGCGGAGCTCCGCGCCTGGGGTGTCCCTAAACCGGCTCACATAGACAAACTTTAAACAGAACATCCGCATTTGACAGCAACTAATTCTACAGAATACATGCACAGACCCAAGACACAAGGTGACATTCGGTTCCATGGCAAGGTGATACTCTACCAGGAAAGTGTCATGATCACATCGGATTTGCGAAACCACTGTAGACCGAGCATTGTATGCTGCACCAGCACTATCCAGTTCTCTGATGCTCTGATATCGTATGCTCCACACCTCCACCTGAGGACCATCCACGAGGCGTCTCCCGTACCTGTTGATGGTGCCGTCCAGCGCGTGCTGCCACATGACGACAATGCTGCTGACATTGGCGTACTCCAGTGGTGACGTTCTCAGGGTACGGGTAGGTGGCAGCACTGACGATGCTGCTATTGGATGCGGCGCTGTCATCCGAGGAGTGGGCGCTCACCTGGTGGTGTAAGAAACGTAAGGTAACGCCTGACTCGCTGCTGGTAAGAAACGCATGGAAAAGTTGAGATGGTGGTCAATTGCATTGAAACGATGTGACCCAGATGTAGTGTGTGAGGTCAGTGAGTCCCTCCTTGACCCCGCCGTCCGCGACTGACCCGGATGTGGTAGTGTGTGGGGGTAGTGAGTCCCTCCCGACCTCGCCGTCCGCGACTGACCAGATGTGGTAATGTGTGAGGGTGGCGAGTCCCTCCCGACCTCGCCGTCCGCGACTGACCCAGATATGGTAGTGTATGGGAGTAGTGAACCCCTCCTAACCACGCCGTCCGCGACTGACCCAGACGTGGTAGTGTGTGGGGGTAGTGAGCCCTCCCGACCTCGCCCGTCCGCGACTGACCCAGATGTGGTAGTGTATGGGAGTAGTGAACCCCTCCTAACCGAGCCGTCCGCGACTGACCCAGACGTGGTAGTGTGTGGGGGTAGTGAGCCCCTCCCGACCTCGCCGTCCGAGACTGACCCAGATGTGGTAGTGTACGGGAGTGAGCCCCTCCTGACACCACCGTGCGCCACTGACCCAGATATGGTAGTTGGTATCGGCGGTGAGGTCGGGCACCAGTAGCAGTAGCGTCGGCGGGCGGCGGGCGCGGCGCCAGCGCCGGCTCCGGTGGCCGAAACACCGGCCCGTAGGCGCGCAGACTGCCGCTGACACCCTCGGCCTCCAGTGGACGCGGTAGCTGAGCCGGTCCCCGGAGGACCAGCGGCGGCAGCCAGCTGACCTCGATACCCTCCGGCGAGAGCGGCTCGGCGCGGACCTCGCGCGGCTCGGTCGGCGCTGCGAACAGCGGCAGCGGTCAGGGTCAGGCCCTGGTCAGGGAAGACGAGGCCCGCTGTCGCTACGGACTGCACTTCAGTATTTGAGGCACTGCAAGCAGTTTCATTTTGTTGGCAATCGTTCTGAATTATTGAAGCGGAGGCGGCAGCAAAGTACCGAAATATCGTACAAAATGGCGGGTGAAAGTTGCACGGAAAGAAGGTGACCATTTGCTCCAACAGAATTACACGCGTGATGACGGAAATTTGAATAATCTTCTCATCAAATTGGAACGACGCAACCACACAAAGGCAGAGAGGGCAAAACCTACGATCGTTTCATCTTTTCCAAGCACCAAATAATTTGTCAAATTGAGCCGTGGTGCCTTGTCGTGCAGTGCCACCCTACGCCACTGACCGGGCGCTGTGGTGAGCACGGTGACGTTGGTGGTGGGCGGCGGCGGGGCGTGCAGCAGCTCTGAGTAGTAGTTGCTGACGGCGAGCCGGACCGCGTAGGCCGTCAGCGGCCTGAGTCCGGTCAGGCGCGCCTCGTCGCCGCTCACCGTCTGCCGTCGGAGGCACGTCACGCTCACGCACGACCACCGGAGGCGCGGCGCCTGCCTCACCGTGCGGCGGGCGGACAGCCGCAAGCGACGACCGCTGCATGCAGCTGGCGATTCTGTCGCATTTGTCAACGGTTCGTCTGCAAGAAAACCCACGCTTCGAGACGCAACACGACATGGACAATAAGCTCGTCCAGATGTGAGCTGTCGTGTATGATGCATCGTATACGAGCAGCTGTAAATGTGAGCTACGGATCAAAACAACCTAGAGCTTTGTTTGCGTCAATTCTTACCATCTGCTGCTGTCTAGACAACAGCCAGTAGTGCAGCACATACGCCTGTTGTCCAAGACTGGCGCTGCCAGCACACTGGCGGGTACTAACACTGGCACTGGCACTGGCACTGGGCCCACACTCACCATGTTTTGGCAGTAGCGGAGATGCTTTCTGCATTGCTTCTCGCCAGTGTTGGGCCCGTAGTAAAGGGTGTAGCGTGGCGCGGCCGTCGACACCGCGCCGCAGCCGGGCGGCGGCGATCGGCGCGACATCTGCACGGTGGCGGACGAAGCTCTGGTGTCGATGGCCCTCGGCCGGTTGGCCGGCGGACCAGGCAGCAGGCAGCGGCTCTCGGGGAACTGCTGCGCGGCGGGGGCCGCCAGCGGCCACAGGCCACGGACCTCGCCGCCCGAGTAGACTCGCTCGCCATCCGAGGACGACTCCAGCCGCTTGGAGAATATAGAGGCGGCGCCGGCAGCCGCGGACCCCGAGCCGTTAGTGGCCCAGAACACACTGTCGTCTGACACAGCCACGTGGTGAGCTGAAAACAGAGCGGTGCTGACGTCGAAAGAAACAAACAGATTAACAACGTCTTCGAAAAGCAGCTGGTGTGCACAGTGTGCGACGTTCGTTTTAATCAGTTTCACGCCGAAAAACAACATTTTGGCCGCATGTCCCGCGAAGAAATCCGCAAAATCTACAGCCATAAATAAGCGCGGGAACTCCGTCAGCTGTCCTGTGCCAGGTGGGGCTCGTGCAGGCTGCACGCGGCGCACCCGAGGAGGGATCTGGGGCTCGACTGACCTTGGTCGGGGACGGAGGCCAGCGGCTGGCAGAGACAGCCGTCTGCGTCAGACGTCACCAGCCGCCCGGAGTCGGCCAGCCGCCAGAGGAGCCGGTCGGCCTCGGCTTGCCGGCCGGACAGCGCCACCAGGCGGCCGGCTGCCGGGCAGCTGCACCTGCCGAGCGGCCGGGGGGGAGGGGGGGGGGGGCATCGTTAGCCAGCGGCGGTGCGTGTGGCTCTGTCGTACTGCCCATCGTGCCGTGAGACGTCAGAAGAAGAGGCGGTCACCGAACTTTGATACGTTTGTCTTGCGATGGCCCAACAGTGGCCACTGACGGAGGTGATGAGCAAAAGCGCCG